AAAAGTGGACGGTGTGCGAACAAGAACTCTATGCAGTAGTAAGAGCGCTAAATCAATGGGAACACTATCTCTTTCATCAAGATTTTCTGTTATGTAGTGATCACCAATCCTTGCAATACTTGAACAACTCAACAACCCAAAGACTATCAACAAGATGCATGCGAGATGGGTTATTTTCTTATAGAAATTCAGTTTTGTAGTTCAGTATAAAACGGGAAAGATGAATCGAGTGGCCGATGCACTTAGTCGCCGGGCTGCTCTTCTCACTCAGCTACAGACGGAAGTTACGAGCTTGCAAGAAATGAAAACCATTTATGCTAGTGATCCAGATTTCGCTACAATATGGGAGGATTGTTGTTTCGGGACACCTAAATGTGATTTTTCTATAAGACATGGTTTCTTTTTTAAAGGAAACTCTCTTTGTGTGCCGGTGTCATCCTGGCACCAACAACTTATTAAAGAAATACATTGTGGGGGTCTATCTGCTCATGTGGGAAGGGATCACACACTACAGCAGCTTCAATGTAAGTTCTTTTGGCCACATATGAGGAGGGACATTGCCAAATTTGTGGTACGTTGCGCTGTATGCCAACGTTATAAAGGTTCGGCATAGAATACCGACTTATATCTACCGTTACACGTACCTGATTACATTTGGGAGGACCTCAGTCTAGACTTCGTCCTAGGATTACCTCGGAAAGCGAGGATCAGACTCAGTAATTGTGGTAGTTGATAAATTTTCGAAGATTGCCCACTTCATTCATTGCAAGAAGACGTTCGACGCTCTCAACATTGCCAAACTTTTCTTCAAGGAGATCATGCGCTTACATGGAATTCCTCGCAGCTTGACGTCAGACCAAGATGTTAAGTTTATCAGCCATTTCTGGCATGAATTATGGAAGAAGTTTCAAACAGATTTGAAGATGAGCTCGGCTTACCATCCCCAAACGGATGGCCAAACAGAAGTTACTAATAGAACTCTTGCTAGCATGCTGAGGTGTTTAGTCCAAGATCATCCGAAACAATGGGAAGAAGTTTTGGGACAAGCTGATTTTGCTTTTAATTCCATGCCAAACTGCGCCACAGGTAAGTGTCCTTTTAGCATAGTCTACACAAAAATGCCTAATCATATTTTATACTTAGCCGTCCTTCCAAAGAGTCGAAGCATGGCTGCTGCCCAAACTGCCGAACAGTTCACTGATGTCCTTAAAGATGTTCATGACCGATTGCTGGACAACAATTTAAAATATAAGAAGGATCAAGACAAACATCGCAGGCATGATGAATTCGGGACTTGGTTATGTTGAGGTATCGCAAGGACCGATTCCCTATTGGCTCGTGTCCAAAGTTACATCCCAAGAAGTTTGGTCCATTCCCGGTTTCGCGCAAGATCAATGACAATGCTTATATCATTGATCTCCCCAAAGACATTTCAACTTCCACCACTTTTAGTGTTGTTGAAATCTACTCATATCATCCTCTTGATGGTGCAACCACGACACACTCATCAGAGGCGAGTTCTTCTGAAGCAGAGGAGACCTGATGAGGACCACATGGAGCTGAGCTGGCATGACTCTTGATAATGTTTCATTGCCCACTACCTACACTAACCGTTTTTACCTTTTTCTGTTGGACATCGTACCGTCTAGTATTCTCTAGCATAGTAATAGTTTTAGTAATTATGTTTTCTAGCTTTGAGCTGATATAAGCTCTATTTTAAAGAAGAAAACCCTTTATGAAATCATACATACAGATTTAGTTATCCTGTTTTTGTTGCTATATTGTTCCATTGCTGCAGGTTTCCTCTTCATTGCAGGAATACGCTACATCAGGGAAGAGAGTTGGCGAGTGGGGTGTTTTGTACGGGTGGGATGGTTACATCATTTGAGAGAATGTGGGTAGTGGGAGCAGTTAGTGATCTACGTTCAACACCAAACCTTAATTCCCATCTGCAATTGGTTGTTGGACCCCACCCCAAAGGGTGTGGAAGTTATAGGGCAGAACTTCTATTCTGCCTCTTATACACCAGGGCCGACTAGGATGGACCAGCTAAACCGGTTCAAGAGGGACCGATCTAACAACCTGATAGATTGCACATGTAGCGCCTCATCAGAAACGCATAAGCCCATCTGATCACACAAAAGGCACATTCCAATTTAGTATCAACCTAGCCTCAAGATCACAGATAAAATCAACATCATTTCTTAACCATTAGAGCATACATGTCAATGGAGCAAAATGGCGAGGATCATGTTGAAAAGTACAGCACGTCACACACACGATACTATTTGCTTTGCGTAGTGTGGCGCATCAAAATAGTGCACGCAATTTGCGCCTATATGCACAATGGCACATGGCCCAAATGGCGAGCTGTTTTGTGAACATCTGATAAGTTTAAATTATAAATTATAATTAATTTTTATGGGTTCTATATTAATATCACAATTAATTATTAATTAATTAAACATTAAATTAATAAAATATAAAAAATTAAAGGATTTATAGCTATCATTTTTGCTATTTGATGGATCTAGGCTAAATTTTGCTTAAATCTTGCTCAAAACTATTGATGTAAGTTTTGTAGGATTTAAAATTGTCATTTGTGTTGTTTAACGGACATTTATGCTTAAATTTTGCTCTAATCAATATATTGTTTATTATTTAATGATATTTAATATTGATAAATACATTTCATGTTTAAAATAGCATGCGCCGTGCCGTGCGCTATGCGCCATGACTGCGAGGAATTTTGCACTGTGGTGTGTCATTCGCCATTGACAAGTATGCATTAGAAACAAAATCATGCACCTTCATTTCTCTACAGACTAGAAGCACTATCATTAGTAATGATAAAACCAAGTCTCATCACAAAAATTCAAATCCCCATTGAAGAAGCGCTTATTGACGTGAGTCTGAAGTGCAGTGAAGGAAGAGTTGATTGGATGCAAGCAAAAATTTTGAAAAGCAATTTGGAATTGAAAGGAATGGCGAGGGTAAGGATGAAAGTCAAAGAGGTGTGCGCAAAAAGGTAAAGAACAGGGATAGAAAGCGTACATAGATTGGCAGTCCGGGATAAGGTGATCCCTGCTATCTTGTAACACAAATAGGTGGCTTGGTCGGCCACCTCAGTGAAATGAGGGTTAAAGTTGGCCCTCGAGGAACTTCCAGCAGGCATACGGGATCGCTTACCACCCGCCATGAACACAAAAAATAGAGAAAGAGTGAGAACAAAGATGAATGGAGGAGTTTGGGTGAGAAAATTTTTTTGAAAGTCTCGATTTATAAAGAAACAGGCCGATCATCCAGGATGATCGCATAATCATCCAGGACGATCAGGTGAAATTATTGCGTCCGGGATGGTTGGTCAAAAAGGTGATTATATCAGTCATGATGATCAGACATTGTCCAGGATGATAAGATACAGATGATAGTCCTAAGATGCACAAAATTTTTTGGAAAATGTCTATATCAAAATTTTCAATCAAATATATTTCTATCAATTAGAACTATTTCGAAATGAGTGCAATATAATAATTGGTTAATTAATTATGAATTACACTATTTTGGAGTAAAGTCAATGGATAGAAAATTAATTTTGATAAAATTTAAATGAATATACTTTGATTAACAACAACAATAACATCAAGCCTTTATCCCACTATGTGGGGCCAATTATATAATCCTTTTTCTTCATTGTGTCTTGTTAAGAATCAAATTCTCATTTATATATAATAAAGAAAAATCATTTCTAACTTTTTCTAACCTAGTCTTTTTAGGTCTACCTCTACATTTCTTAACATAGGTAAAATCTAATACATCTACTCCCCTAACCGGGTCATCGGAAGACCATCGTTTTATGCGACCAAACCATCTAAGGTGACTCTCTCTAATCTTATCTGCCACTAGAGCTACTCCAATCTTTTCACGTATAAGCTTGTTTCGTATCTTGTCTCTAAGAGTAAAGTCACTCATCCATATGAGCATCCTCATCTCTGCAACACTTAACTTAATATTATGCTTCTCTTTTAATGGACAATATTTTGCGACATAAAGCATTACAATTCTAACCACCATCTTATAGAATTTTCCCTTAAGTTTGAGTTGTTCTTTTCTATCACATAACAAGCCCGATGCATTCCTCCACTTCAACCATCCAAGTTGAATTTTGCTAATATATCCCATCTATTTCACCATCACTCTGAACAATAGACCCAAGATATCTAAAACGTATACTTTTATTAATGACTTGAGCGCTCAAAGTCAAAAACCTCCCACTAGATCAATCACTATTTAAATTATACTCCATGTATTCGGTTTTAGATCTACTCAAACGAAAACCTTTGTTGTTGTGCACTTTGATTAAAATTTTCTACTCACCAAATATGAGAAAAAATTATCACATATTCTTACTCTAGTTTGACCTTGATAGATTTTTTAGAAAAAAAATTGTATAAGTATATTCTAATAAAAATCTATTAGAATGAGGTTCAAAGAATTTGGATCTACTTTCAAATAAGTGCAATACTTAATTATTTGTGTATTGCACACATCAAAGTAGATCCAAAAATTTTGAAGACCGTCCCGATTAAAATATCATAACACAATTCTTTTCCATTTTATAGCCATTAAATTTGTTCAAAAATAAATACAATATGAAAATGATTTAATAATATATTATGTTTCTTTCAAATAAATTCAACAAGTAAAAATTTCATCCAAAACAAATTTTAATTCCCATCCTGACCCAAAATTGAAAATTCTTCCCTGCATACCAATTCCAAGAATCAAGCTGTCAAAAGAATCTGACGATTTGTAATGAGCTCGTCGCTTTTGATTATAAGTACCGCCCAGTGAATGTAATTTAAAGAGTGGAGAAGAAAACAAACTTACAAAAGAAGCAGAACAAAATTAAGCAGCTTAATAAACTTACCGACGGTGATCAAATACTTAATGGGTTGTAATCACCGCCGGTAGGACAAAAAGAGTACTGGACAAAGTACCTGAAGCGGATCCTCTTGAGATCGTTCCCGCCCTGGGGCAATGACAGAAAGGTAATGAGAACACCGGGCTCGACCTGGGCGACCCAATCCCTCGGCTCTTCCTCCATGAACGACGCCACCACGGCTGCCGCTAACTGAGTCCGGCCTCTCTCCAATGGCGTCCCCTCGTCGCTTGACAGGCCCCGGAAAACAGGTGTCGATCCGTAGCTCCTGCCGCCAGCACAAGCGCGCCGGTAAGAATACAGAAACCGCTCCGATCCCGACGCAGATACAGATGAGTCCTCGTAACGCCTTCCAGGCGTCGATCCGGCGCATGGCTTGCAATGGCGGTAAGCCCCCGAGGCCTTCAAGGCCATGTCCTTGATCTGGAGTGTGATGCATGATGCATGACCATTGATCAAAATCAAAATGAAAGCCCAAATTATGGAATGCAAGGTTAAATGACAAAACCCTAGCCGGGATCTAACCTGGGACGTGAGGGCCTTGATGGCCTGGCGGGTGCTCGGTGTGCCGGCTACGGCATCATCGTTATCGTCCGGCTCATTGAGCGATCCGACGTCGAGCTGCTTCGAACAAGCGATGCAAGTTAGCATCCCGTTTCAACCTCAGCTTAGGGAACCACCCCGATCTAACTATGTGAAGAATTAAAAGGAGAAAGGGAAAGGCAAAAGGAACGGATGAGTTGTACTTTATTAGGAGGGACACAAAAGCGACGGGTCGAGAGTGACGGAGAAGATAGAAGGAGAGGTTTTAATGAGCCTATTTCGCTGCTACGAGGCTTTAAATGGATTTTCAATGGAAGGAGACAAAGAAATTAATGAGAAAATGGGCACCGCAAGCTTGTGTAGCAAAACTTTAAGGAGAACCGCCCGGAAGCCCTAGAGAGATTGGAGAAGCCGACAGAACTTTTTCTCTGGGTGCTCCACCTCTCTCAATAGAGCTAGAGTGATAGTATATCAACCTGTCAGACATACGGTGTTAGAAGGTTCGGTCCGGTGGACTGCTGCTGATTCTATTATTTTACCCAATTAAAATTTTTTTTGTTTTGATATTTTCTAGGGCTGCAAATGAACCGAGTCGAGCCGAGCCGAGTATATGAGTGTTCATGTTTGAGTTCGTTGATCATTAGCTTGTTCAAGTTCTGTTCATGTTTGATTCAAGCTTTATTATTTGTGTTCATGTTTGGTTCGTTTAATTTAAATGTGTTCATACTTGGTTCATGTTCGGTTCGTTTAATGCTTATCGATCTTTAAACAAACAAGCCTTAACGAGCTATGTTCATGAACATATTTAACAAATAATCTATTAAACAAACAAGCATTAAATTTGTTCATGAACATCTTAAACAAACAATCTAGCAAATATGGACAAATGTGAAATGTCTTTTATTCAGAAAATTAAATTTATAATAAAAGCAGTTGTCTATTTAAAATGAAAATAAGATTAATCTATACGAATATATTCTTAAATGAAGCTTACATATTGCATTTCTCTCCATTCAAGCTTTTATCGAGCTTTTTATTGAGCTTAATGTTGAGCTTCTTCACAAACTTCAAATGATGTTGTTCGCGAACATAAGTGAATCGAATATATTAGTGTTCAAGTTTGTTTATCTAAGGATCGAGCATTTAAAATGTTGTTCAAATTTGTTTGTTTAGTTAGTTAAACGATCACAAACGAGCTTTAATCGAACCGAGCATCGAGTAGCTCGCCGCTTGGTTCGCTTGCAGCCCTAATATTTTCCTTGTGTAAATTTGATTAAATTATTTCAAATGTACCCAAAAAGTATATATCTATATTATTTTTAAGATTACTTATATGACTCCGAAGAATTCGAATAATCTATACGAATTTGAGGCTTTTTGAATTTATTTTTTCCAAACTAAATGCATGATCATCTAAAATTCAAATTTTACATTCTTACAGTGAAACCAAGCGGCTGGATGAGATGAATCTAACAAGCTCATGATCATTTAATTGTGACATCATTAGGATACTAAAATGCTCAAAAATACTTCATGATTAAGAGAATTGTTATAAATAATACAATAATGTGTTTTGAATTCTAGTTCAAATTATAAAAATGTTCATCCAAAAAACCTCTAAATATAGCATATTCTCCACATGAGGGGGAGAAATGAGAGAACTATGCAGCCCTCTTGTATTTTCCAGCTATTGCCGGCGACGACCATCACCAGCTATTATACCTATAATCATCATTATCGTCGATGATCATCATTAGTAATGGTCACCATCTTCATACTCTTCTCAAAATTTAACTTTGTTAGTGTTTCAACTGTCCTCTTATGGACATCATACTTTTATAATTTCTATAAAGAAAATCAAGTCTTATTGTTTGGTGCTAACTGATCATATGTAGACACTTGATTTCTGTAATCCCCTCTGGAAAAATAAATCATTTGTTTTCAAAAAAATCTACTCTTCTTTTTCCTATGAGGAAGGAAGGATTCTTATATCACCTACTCCATAATGAATTTTTCATATGGGTCAAGCATCATAATTTTTTCCCTTCCCGATTTTTCACTTAAAAAAGTTTTAATCTTACTATTTTTATTTTGCATGTGCTAATTTTAACGTGAAGATAAAATTGTGACTCGGATCTTGTTGAATGACAATGAGATTGGGAAATTTCAATTAGCAATAAGAATAGATATCTTCAAATTTTATTATTATATTTTTGAAATTATTATGAATATATTTTAATTATTTAATATTTTACATCAAAATAAATAATTTATAATATTTATATTTTATATTTTCATTTAAATATTGTATAAATATTGAATTATAAATAAATCAATGAAACAAGTTATTTATACTTATAAATACTAGTGCCACTTTTAATCTCAACATCATTACATTTTTAAAATTTTGAATAACTTTCTTATAATTTAGAATTTAAAATAATAAATTATTCAAAAAATAAAAAATTAAACTCCACTTTATTTAAACTAAAATTTTTTTTATCATATTAATTATTAATGCTATTTTAGAGTTTATCAATGATCTCCTATTAAAATAATCCACATAGTCAGTAAATTAATTAATAATATTTATTTCAAATGATCATTTATACGTTACAGCATTTATGTGAATTTATTTTGATATAAGAGAGTTGTTGAGATCTAAAAATTTTGTATATACTCAATCGTATAGTCATTGTCACAAAAACTAACATTATACAATGTTCAAACTAAATATAATATCATAAATAAGTTAAGGATTATGCCATAAATGAGAGTCTAGAACTTTGATCTCAATTTTAATTAATCTACTCAGTAGCAAAGCACAAAAATAAATTTATCTCGACTTAAAAATTCAATGACCACAAAGAAAATAAATGAGTAATTAATCTCAATTGACTATATAGTTTTTCTATTATAAATAAATTAATGAATTAATATATAATAAACTTCTTGGTTTGGCCAACCATAAGGCCCCTCAGACAACACATACTCTTCTGTTATTTAGTGAATGCCTATCCACGCCACATAAATCCTAATTTAGAAAACTATCTTTTTATCTTTATAATTCTACATTAATTATAGCTACCTCTAATTTTTTTATCAATAAAAACTGACCAGTGAAAATAAAAATTATTGATCAACTCATATATTATAAATAATCAATATATATAAATATATATATATATATATATATATATATATATTATATATACTTATATACTATAGATACTTATACATATATATTAGTGAGTGAGTGAGTATATTATTTTTTTCTGAAAATTATATGCATTACTCATTTATCTGAAAAATAGAAAATATTTCATACCCTTGAGTATAAAAGAGTAGCTACTGACACAAAAATAAGCTCAATAGTAAACCTGAGGAATATCTAACCAATCGTCACACTCCTGCTACACCCCTTACCATGACACGAAAAATATTTAAACCACATATATATAATAAGTTAAAAACTCGAAATAGGTCACCAAAACTTACACAAACACTTATAAAGCCGATAAACATACATGTCAATTCATTCCTCCAACCAAACGGGTCAAACAATCTTAACTTCTCTCTTTACACATACATATTTATAATATAATAATAATAAGATAATAGTGGACCGGCTATTGTTTCAATCACATATCTATATTTATTTTCCAATTACATTAAATTAAAGTGTAAATTAGTCTTAATTAAAAAACTTATCAAAATGTATTAATGGTAGGCAACAGAAAATCCTATTGAACGAAAATTTATATTTTAGATTTACCAAATTTACCAAAGATGTATATAACAACATTCTGAAGCTTTAATTGAATTAAAGTACATATTTTCATATGTCCAAAATAAATTTCTGAATTAATTTGTAAAAAATCATTGTTTTTTTCAAAATCAACTAATAAAAAATCTCAAAACAAATACTCAAAACGTTCGTTAATATCAATCTATATAAACATACAAAAATTTATCTAATGAGATTTTTTATCAATATAAAATTATTTCTTTTTTTTGTAGTAATGAAAATACAAATTTGATAAAAAAAATAAAAAAGGATAATAGTTTTCCTTACAATGAGACGAGCAAATCTCCCAATAGGATCGACTGACAAAAATCGTTATATAGCATCCAAATTCTGAAATTCTTTTCTCTCTCCTCACTTTGCTCTTCTTAATTCCTCTATAATGTTCTCGAAGGTTAAGTTAAATTATGTTTAATTAGATTAGAATTTTTTTAATAAAATAATAATATAATAATAGTACAATTATATAATTTAATCAATTTTTAGAATAAAATTCATATAAATTCTTTTGGGACATTAAAAATTATATAAAAAAATATTTATAAAATAGCTCATTTTATTTTAAAATTTTATATAAAATTGATTTGTAAAATAGACACTTAACGGTTCCAAAATTTCTACTTGTACCGATATGTATCAATTTCTTAAGTATTTGCTTCGGTGCTCAAAAATTATGAAAAAATTAAAGTAATTATATCATTATAATATATATGCTATGAAGAAGACAGTTTATGATTTGGACTTATATTGACTCTTGAAAAAATTTATTTAACTCGATTAAAATATGGGCAATTACAAATGCAACTCAAATACATAATTTTAACAAACATAGGCCACCCACTCACAACAATAAGAAAAAAACACTAAACTGAAGTTCTCTTAAACTTTGGAGAATACCAAATAACTATTTCATTAAATAGAAATGATATAATCTTTAAAACAAAGAATGGAAATAAAATGATGGAATTCATAAATAAGAAGTTCTGAGATATTGTAAGCACCAACATAAATCCTTAAATGAGGAAGAACACTTGATCTTCTTAAGAATCCCTTCCAACATTTTTCATTTAAGCTTAAGCATGAGGATTCATTACCCCCTAAGTAATGAAGTGATGGTGTATTTAGAAGCTCCTCAATAAGCTCACACCTAATGTAGATAACCATTGTTAGCCACCTTTTTGGAGCGTGTTAGCCTCTAACATATTATTAAGCCTCATTAGTTAGAGTTAAGCCAAATGACCCCTCTTTAACTTTATGGCCCTTAGGCACTTTAGCCTATTCATATCATCTTTGATCCATAAGTGTCCTTGAAGTAAACCCAATCAATATTATTACTCTCAATCAAAGTTTTTTTAAACTTAACCTAGTACATCCTTAAATCATATCCTCACGTAGTAGACCTATAAAGCATATTAGGGGGATTAGAAAGCAAATCTATGTTAACTCATCTAGGACTCATATCATTATAATCATGTATAACTTAGGTACCCTCATGATTAACCATTTTTATTTAAGCCTAACCCAAGTCGTTCTGGCCATGCTTGGTTAAACCAGGTTATCCCACTTTGAGTTTAGGATCATTGACCCAATAAAACACCTATTATGAACCTAACATCTCTATAGGACGTGCAAAACCCTCTTAGTCTAACTTAGCTC